TATGTAAGACGTAATGGAAATTCAAAAGATCAGGTATACAAAAAAACGTATCAATAATAATATTATTATTATTCTTTTTTTTTTTAGTTTGAACTTCCATTTGCAAAATTAATTAGAGCAAAAGAAGTTGAAATTGAACTTAAATCATCAATTGATAATTTTTTCAATGAGATATCAAATACTGATAATCATTTAAATTCATCACTGTCAGATGATTCATCTAATGAAGATATGTCTGATAATGAAAGTAAACCATCTAGTTTACAACGACATGAACCTCGTCCACCTAGTGCACCTATATCAGAACATAGTCGACGTCATCGTCGTCCTCATCATCGTATAAGTGAGCAAATATCAGAATTTTCTCAATATGGTCCTCAATCATCGAAAACTATGGACTCATCATCATCAATTCGTTCAAAAAAAAATCAACAACAATCAGAAAACGATACGGATAGTCCACATATTGATCCATATGGTTCAACAACATCACTTCGCCGTAGTGGAATTTTTCAATCATTAAAATTTAAAAAAGATAAAATACGTTTACCACGTCCATTTAATGAGCGTGAAGATCCTAATGATGAAAAACAACAAAAAAAGAATCGAAAATCAACTGGAGGAACTCTTCGACCAGCTAGAGTGAGTCATATGAAAAATTTAGAATTAGATGAATTTTAATTCTATGATCAAATCTTAGTAAACAAATTACTAAACTAATGTTATGCAATTAGAGGTGTCAGCCATCGCCATGGAATTGTAGATCATTTTAAGAATTTTGTTAGGAGCCACCACTGTGAAAAAGCAAGTTCAGCCGATGCACCGCCACCGATTCAGAAAAACATAGTCTAGCAGGTGCCGCCGCCACTGTTTGATCCTTCGGCTTACATCTCTATATACAATATACGATAGAATACAAATATGATTCATAAGATTTTAAGACTTAAGAGGAACGTCTTTCAACTGACGCATTGCTTTTGAGTTGGAACTATGTACCAGAGATGTCCATCGCGGTTGAAAACTGACCGCTGCCGCGCCGCGACGATAAAAGAAAAATGCTAACGCGCCGCTACCGCACCGCTGCCGCGACGCCACCAATAATAACCATGCCGCGATGATTGTTAGAATAATGTTGTGAATTTTACGATCTGTGACTGTTCAGGACTAGAGCTGTTGTTACCAATCGATAAGATTCGTTGAATCTCATAGTTTTGCACTTTCAAACATTGAAATTCTGTTCGAATCATGCATTTTTGCATTGTTCTCCAAAAAAACCTGCCGCTGCCGCGATAGTTAGTTAAAAAAACGACCGCTGCTGCGCCGCCACCGTCACAGCGGCAGCGGTCGCGCCGTGATTGACATCTCTGCTATGTACATCAGATAGGTATTAATGAGCTACGAATAAGTTGAAAAGAGTTCCAATACTTAGCTTATTACTGTGGAGATACTGCATATTTACAGTTTTTTTTTCTTTAAATTCAATGCTATGATCTACTTTTTGGAACACCAGAAGAACTAATATTCGAATTCTGACTTGAAGCTTTGTATAGAGATGAAACTTGATGAGAATAGTTTATTGTGAAAGTTTTAGAGTCATTTGATTTTTTCTTATAGTGAAATAGTAATATGAATTTACCGATATATATATAAGTAATGCGAAAGACACGTACTTATCATAGTCGAATCTTAGAATATGAACAATAAGAAATTTGAAAATTAACTTTCCTGGTGCTCCTGAGGAAGAGACTAAGATGTTGAATTTAAACAATATGTTATAAATATTCTATCTCAGCAGAAATAATCGAAGAGCTTGAACTCTGTTCATATAGTTTCACATGATGTACATAGTTCCAACCTACAAGTGACTA